TCCCTTCAATCTACAACAAGAAATTTTAGTTTCTCTTCTTTCTCATTTTCAAGAAACCAACAATTTGGTATCAGAGCTCTGTTCTTAAGGGATCTGTGCATGAGTTTGAGCGGCAATGAAGATCGAAGCTACTTTTTCCTCAGTTGCTCCACCAGTGTTTGACGGAGACAATTATCGGATCTGGGCAGTCCGCATGGAGACGTACCTGGAAGATCTCTGGGAAGCAATGGAAGAAGACTATGACATTCCTTTTCTCCATGAAAAACCCACCGTAACACAAATTAAAGCACAAAAGGAGAAGAAGACAAAGAAATCAAAGGCAAAAGTTTGCCTGTTTGCTGCAGTTTCCTCTACAATTTTTCACTCGTATCATGTCGTTGAAAATGGCAAAAGGGATTTTGGATTATCTCAAATCTGAGTATGAAGGAGATGAAAGAATTCGAGGGATGCAGATGCTAAACTTGGTTCGTGACTTTGAATTGCAAAAGATGAAGGAGACAGAGACCATAAAGAAGTACTCTGACAGACTACTCAACATAGCAAATCGTGTCAAATTATTGGGTTCTTTTCTGGAAGATTCAAAGATTGTTCAGAAAATCTTTGTAACAGTGCTTGAAAGATTTGAGGCTATCATCACCACCTTAGAAAACACGAATGATCTGTCAAAGATTGCTTTGAAAGAACTCTCAAGTGCATTATAAGCACAAAAGCTGAGGCGTGTAATGAGGCAAGAAGGAGCCGTCGAAGGAGCTCTTCCAGTCAAGCATCAAGATGATGAAAAGAATAGGAGGCTAAAAAACAAGAAGTTTCAAGCTACAAGTGGACAAAAGAAAGATTACCCTCCATGTCGACATTGTGGCAAGAAAGTTCATCCTCCTTTCAAATGCTGGAGAAAACCAGATGCAAAGTGCAGCAAGTGCAATCAAATGAGACATGAAGCTATCATTTGCAAGAATAAAAATCAGCAACAAGGAGATGAAGCACAAGTGACAGATCAAGAAGAAGATGACAAGCTTTTCGTAGCAACTTGTTTCACGAGTTCTGAAACTAGTGAAAATTGGCTCATTGATAGTGACTGCGCTAATCATATGACACATGACAAGGAGTTGTTCAAGGAATTGAAGAGCACCGAGTCCAAGAAGGTCAGAATTGGGAATGATGAATATATTGCAGTAAAAGGAAAGGGCACCGTAGCAATTGCAAGCTGTTCAAGAAACAAGTTGATCACCGATGTTCTCTATGTACCAGATTTTGATCAAAATTTGCTCAGTGTTGGTCAATTAATAGAAAAGAGATTCAAAGTGATCTTTATGGAGAAGGCTTGTGTGATAGAGGATGCTACAGACCAAAGTATGTTTGAAGTTAAGATGGCAAGGAGGAGTTTTTCACTCAATCCAATGCAGGAGGAGCAGGAGGTTTTTGACTCTTTTCCCAATGAAAGTTTTGTAAAACATCCCCACTCACTATAAGTTTCATTGATTAATGGGGGTAATGAATGTCATTTAGATGGTCTTAGGATAATGAAGAAAACACTTCGAGTTAAAGATGAGGAACTTCAGCAATTGACCAAAGAATTACGTGCAAGAGATTCAACCATACGCGAGTTAGCAGACAAGTTAACTGAGACAACTTAGGCTGCTGAAGTAGCTGCATCTGCAGCTCTTGCTATGGATGAAGAGAGGAGGTTTGCTTACACAGAAATTGAACGACTAACCAATGATTCAAATAAAAAACTTCAAGAAACCATTCTTAAGTTAAAGAATCAGAAGAAAAGGTTGCAGCATTTAGCAGAGATAGAGAGATCCTATTTAAGCAGAGAGACTTTGCTCTTCAAGAGGCACATTTTTGGCGTTCTAAGCTCGCAAAAGCTAGAGCAAAAGCTCTAAGCTCGCAAAAGCTAGAGAACATGTTGTTTTATTAGGAGCTGTTATAGTTCGAGTTGAAGAAAGCACCAGGGTTTCACATGCAGAAGCAGAAGCTCGATTAAAAGATGTCGCTGAAAAAACATTGATCGCTGCAAAAGAAAAAGATGATCTGTTAACATTTGTAACTACTTTGCAATCTCAAGTTCAAAGGCAACAAAGTTCCACAAAACAAGTGCTGGAAGAGATACCCGAGTCAAGCTTAGGCAAAATGGTGTCAATGATGAAACATGCGGACTTGGAAGACGATGTCGATAAAGCTTGCTTAAGTGATTCAAAACTCATTCGGGTTTCTGGTGACAGCATGCAATAGACTACTAATGGTGTCGATATTCGTACCATTGTAATTTCTCATGACCCTGTGTTTCATGGGAACACTAAACATTTCAACATCGTTATTTTTTCTAAGAGAAGTGCAAAAAGAAGAATTTGTGACTCGCTGAAGATTAGTTGACAGATTTACTTACAATGTCACTTCCAATCAGCAAGTTTGAGTTTCTAAGGCAGAAACTTGGTATTCGCAGATCCTAAAGCAAGGAGGAGAGTTGGAATACTTGTTTAGGACAGCTTATTGAGTCTAGGTTTATTTGAATTTAGTTTGTCCCTTAATCTTAGGAGTTAGTTGCTATTTTTTCTTGAATTTTGTTTCTTATTACTTTCTTGGCTGATTTTTAGGTCTTTTCTTGGAAGTTTGTTATTAGCTCCAAGTTTAAAATATTGTAAAGCTATGTGTGGTTTTGATTTCTCTTCAATCTATAACAAGAAATTTTCGTTTTTCTCTTCTTTCTCATCTTCAAGAAACCAACAGTAAATTTAAAAAGACAATATATATAGCATCAACTACTCTTATCAGTTGGTCGGGTCGGGTATCTGTTTGTCAGTTGTAAGTCCCCTTGGTCTGGGGTTCAATTCCCCCCGAGTGTAGGGCATCTTCAAGAAACCAATAGTAAATTTAAAAAGACAATATATATAACATCAACTACTCTTATCAGTTGGTCGGGCATCTATTTGTCAGTTGTAAGTCTCCTTGGTCTGGGGTTCAATTCCCCCCGAGTGTAGGGTGTGGTACTCGAATTATAGGCGCATGAGGGATAGCCGGGGCTCATATCATAGTCTCCGACCATTCCTTTTTTTAATATATATATATAAACAATCTCCTTGGGCTTAGTTAGGTAGTTTTGCGAAGATAATGCTTAGAATGGGATGCAAAATCAAATCAAGGTGACATGCATTATTTGTGATACATTCAACTTCAGGGTTAGTATATCAAAGCATCATTATATTAGATAGCGATTTGGAAGATATGGAGACTTTAGAAAAACTGTTGCTCTTAGAAATGTGAGATAAAGAATTAGGCAAGCTAAAATATTATCTTAATATTGAGGTTGCTCAATCTCATAGTAAAATAAGATATATAACAAACCTAATAAAAAGAATAGGCGTGTTGGGGTGCAAGCCTATCTATAATCTCATGAAATTTAACTATAAAATGCTCCAAAAAACACTATCATAGAAAAAAATCTCTTTAGGGAGACTTGTGGGAAGACTAGTCAACTTATTACATACTAAATCTGATAGTGCCTATGTTGTTTGTGTGTTAAATTAACCCATACAAAATTTTAAAGAAGAAAACCATATTGCTACAAACAAATTTACTAATTTCTAAAAAGACCTCTAGGTAATAAAGTTTTATTCAAATGGAGAGG